GCTATGGTGGCACTTGTCTGATGTTTCCTAATGCCCGACATTTTGGTGCTGTTCATCGGTTACGGGAAGTGTGCCTGTTGCTAGTTTGTTGTTGTTATGGGTTTCCTAGTGTTCATTTTGATCTCAGTGAGACTTGATGATGTCATAGATGCCCATTGATGATGTCATCAAACAAAACAGAAACATCATAGTATCACTGTACTGTTTTGTTTTTCACATGCATATGATCTCAAAAGCATCATATTTCACCCAAAAAGAAATTCTATTAAAAAGAAATTCAAACCTATTCAAGCTTTCATTTTGCTGATTACCTCCCTTTGACGGGTCAAATTTTGGGTTAAGAATGATGTTTTTTTCTCTCCATATTTTGTGTTTTTTGATGTGGTAACCATGGTTTTCACAAGTCCCAAATCTGGGGAAAACTAAACACCTTTTGAAAAAAAAAAATCTTAAATAAATGTATTCAAAATGTAGTTGATAAATATATATATATATATATATGTAGGTGTGTTGTGCAGGATGAATCCAATAACCATGTTTATCTGAGACATGCCCTTTATTTTTAGGATCCGGCCATGTCTAGTGTACTCTGCTACCGTTGTTGCACTCACAAGAAAAAGTAACTAAGTTTCAAAGGGCCATAACTCTCATAAAGATATTCATATCTTCATATTATCATGACACATCCAAAATTGTAGAAGTTGTCAGGACAAGATTTTTTCTACGGATAAAATTTGTTGCAAGGGAGTATACTAATCAATGTTGGGGGAGGGGGGGGGAGCTTTGCTTCCATGTCTCAGGTTGACCCTAAAGAAGGCTTAGGGGTGGGGGATCAGAATATTTGTTGCCAGTAAAGTCCATTTTTCATAAAACTACATTAGATGATGTGCATAGCTGTAGTCTTTGGCCCCTGTGCCTCAGTTTCAATACATCCCTTTCTTAACTCTACCAAATACAACCCAATCAGTTTGACCTGGCTACACATTATTTTCCTCAACAGAATACACCTCAAATCATACAGGTACACAGATACAAGGTTACAGAATCAGAATATGTACCCAAGAGGGTTCCAACACCCCCCTCCCATATTCTATGATTGATTATGGTTTGACTGACAAAAACATGTTAAGAAAACTTTCAAGATTAAAATACATGTATAAAGATTTGGAACAGAACTAAATACAAGTTTTACTGTGAACTGCATTCAAACATCATTTCTGCCTATAGCTAAGGCATTTACCATATCCCTTTCATTTTATGATTGATCAATGATTGAGAAAAAGTTATTGGAAATGGATTTTGATTTTGAACACTAGCTGCTAGTCACTTAAGTGTAAAACCTTCAAAAGAAAACTCTTAAATTTGCTTTGCGATTGTTAACAAATTTCCATACGATCTTTCTTTATATTGGCCCACGTTATGTGAGTTTTATTCATATGATGTAGGAGCTACTGGCACCAATCCTTTATAATATCACTCCAAGCAAGGGTTTGTTACAAATGTCTGAAATACACATGCTATAGACATTTATAACGAATCCCTGTGCTCCAAGGGTATGTTTAAGTTGAAATCACAAGAGTACTACATCTAATAATATGAGAAGTCTGCCATCAAGGGTGTCTAACAGAAGTTACACGCCTATATATAGGCCTAATATTAATAGATCAAAGATCATATAATCAGCTCATTCAGAGACGTACATTTATTACAATATACACCTCTTTGGTTAATTGAAAGCTAGACGTCATTTTGATGTGCACGATAATCGATCACACAAAGAAAAGTGATAATTCGTCAAAATATGCATAAAAAGCAATCAATATCAAAACTCATTGAAACAGAGAGTTAAACCTACCAGTCAGTATCAATTTTACAACGTGATCAACGCCTATTTTGTAATTATGAAGAAAATATACAGGGACTTACCAAAATGTCAGAGGGGTTGACAGCGCGGGAAGACTGATGTGACGCGAATCTCGGGCTCGTGCATGTGACCAAGTACTTTTTCATTGGCCAAGAAGTTAGCATGAACAGTTTTCATACTAGTTTCAATGAAGCCTAGCTCCGAAGGTCATTGAGGGGTGCAGGTATGGACATGTACCTCTGCGTATATAGTTTGATACTCCCTATGAACAATTCATGTCGAGAAATTGACAAGAGACAATGTTTTCTTGGCGTTTTGAATCCGTAATGGAGAAATCCTTGACTGAACAGATGTACGTTTTAGCGGCGGCTGTCGGTGAATTTCTAGCTAACAAAAATGTCTTTCCAGCCGAGGAGAGAATATAAATTCTCGCTTTATTCGCCCATCTCTGAATACAAGTATATGCACCTATTTTGAAAAAAAAATCATCTTCCAACAGCATCTAAATCATCGTTATAAATGAGTGATCTATTTTACGTTTCAACCTGTTGATATCGTACTTTCTGC